AACGAGCTGATATGATGTGAAAGATTAAATCGTCTGAAAAGAAATCCAAAAACTTAAAATGCCATTTACAGTTACCAAAGACTTTTTCCAGGATAACTGTAGTCGTTGAATGCAATTCAAAATGTCAAAACAATCTTAGATCGAATATTCAAATCACATTTTGCAAAAGTTTGCCAAAATTTCGGACATAAGGTCAACAAACTTTCCCAACACCCGTTTGTTTGAAATGAGTTTGAAATGTACCGCAATGAGAATACCATAGTTCTCAATACAAACGCGCATAGAATATTTCAGCTGAAACAAAATGCAAAAACTAGCAGCGAGTGAATTCAATTTACTCACGCGTCGATGCATGCACATCGATGGGGTACTCTCGAAATGAATTTGTGAAAATGTTCGAAATGAAAGTCGGTGGTTTCGAATGGCATTTTGTGTTTATATTTCGCATAATTTCACCGTGCTTCACAAACAAAAGCCGAAGCGAGTCAAATGGAAAGTGTGGAAAATGCACATAGAAACGTCATGAGCATACCATGGATGATTCTAGTTCTAAAAAAGGTATTTTGCTGTTTCTCGCATAAGCTCGGAATTACCATAATTGAAACTTTTCAACAGTAAAGATAAAGAGCGAAAAACAAACCGCTCGGCAATGACATGGGTTTAAAAAAAAAGAACCCTACGACAATCGTAGCTTAATTGTGTGGCACAAAAAACACGTCCATATTAAAACTATAAAATTCACTACGTCATTTGCAAGCATCCAGCGCACGCCATTTATGCTCACGTTCTTGAGGCTGGCCCCAAGAGCGGGAGAGGATGAAAAAAAGCAATTCGAACAATTCTTCAAAAGTGAAATTAATTCACTGGTTGCCTGTGGCTCAATGGCATACACAATACAATCGTCTGACATTATATGCACGTATGCCGTCATCGTTTGGCGTCTGTTGCGATTATTTTGAGCCGCCTCAAAACAGAATTAATTATTCAAAAAAAAAACACACAGAGAGAGAGAGAGAGAAAAGGGGAAGGCGAGAGAGAAATTGAATTCATTTGTACGCACAATGGCAGTAACATATTATTTTGTCTGAATTCCACGAATCGTTTGCACTGCCGATTAATTTTAACAAAATGAATTCCGTGCGGTTTTAATTACAAGCGTTCAATCGGTGTTTGATATACTGGTTTTGCCGACGGTGACGCGGGTGGATTTACTGACCGCAATTCAATTGAGTGAATTATTATACGCTATATGACATGTTCGTATTCAATTTATTGTTGTAATAATCATAAAAATATGGAGAGAGAGAGAAAGAGAGAGAGAGAGAGAGAGAGAGAAATAACATTCAGTTCGATAATAAAGCGATAGTAAAGCTTAATGTGAATTAAGCCATTAAAGCGATGAAACTATACGCTTTCGTCCTTCACAAGACCGTAATGTTATGAATGTCATAAATGATGCGCAATGCCCAGTGTTATTTTTTTGCTCTTCGGAATGATGACGTTCACAAAAGTGCATACGAATGCATCCATGACACAGGATTACCAGCTTTATTCACATCGCGCAGTTAAAAACTTCATTGGAAATCATTTTGCAAAACCTGTAATAAAACGTGTACGTATTATGAGTCTCAACTAAATGCGTATTATTATACGCGTTTATCGTTGGTTTCACGTAATGTTATTGTTTCACAAAAATAAGAGAGAAAAAAGAAACAAAAAGAACAACACGACTGAAATAAAGCAAAACCCATTGCTCTTTTCCGTCTGTCAAATGAATCATCTTATTTACATTGAAATGTTATAATTACGTCGCCCCATGGCCCACTCACATATATTTTTTGCCACGCTTTGAATCCATTTCGGTTAGATTACAAACGGCTTTTGCACCATTTCAGTCGGTGTATTTTTAATGATAATTAGAATAAATATATGAAGCAGGCAAAAGCATAAGAAACGAACGAAATGTGTTGTGCATAAATAATAATGAGAAACGGCTAAAGTTTCCGAATTTTCGGTGATTGTTGCTAAAAGCTTGGCGCCAAACAATGAACGCGAACAGAAACAAAAATAACAAGCAATATTGGGTTTTTTTTTATATTTTGGAGGTAAAAGTAGCATATTTAATAGGCATAAAACACGCAATGAAAAGTTATGATAATACGAAACGGCGATTGAGCTTAAATCCACCTCCCCCGTTTGACCGAAAGAAAAAGAAGTGTAAACAAGGTAGCCGAATTTTTTTTGGTAAACTTATGCAAATGGGATTCATTAAGGAGTAGGAGCAAATAAAAACTCAATATGAGATCGCAGACACGCGCGTATGTGTATGTGCATGGGGCATTGAAATTGCTCTCTTTTTTGCGAAGGTTTAACCATGGGTGCAAAAAATGACAATTGATCTCGGTTCATTGCAAGCGGAGAAAATCTTGAATTATAATTTTATGTGCGGATAATTTGCGAAAAATGTACGCGCATTGTGCAATATTTTAATGCCATTTCATTAGACGTTCATTAAAAACAAGATATACCCCCCCATCCAACATTGACTCTACACTACACACAAAATTAACCAAATGAAGGTAGCAGCAACCTGGGTAGCAGCTTATTAGTAGCGCAAAACCTTTGGTATCAATTGAATGCATGGAGAGTGTTTCGCTCGTTGTGTGTGTGTCTGCGCGCGACAACAAATCCTCAGAACATTAAAAAATATTATGGAACTGAGACGCTAATGAACACTTCAGACCAATTCATTTTGTTTAATAGCTGACGTTGCAAAAGCCGCTGTAAATTGCATTTTCACAAGCTTTATGACTGCATAACAATCGCGGTACCACGGCTGCTGATGCTGCTTCATGTCGCTCATGATGCTTTTGTTGCTGTTGGCCTTTGTGCCTGTTTAAGTTTCAATAGCGATAAATCGCAGTTGCACTGTGTATTTCCACAGAATATAACATCGGTTGATAATTGCTTAGCGTCGATTTAGTGCATGTGTCTGCTGGACGGTTTTTGTTTGTTCTGTGCTGTTCACGCTGTCGATGATTGGTGTGTTTGGGATGCTCTCTGTACACAAAGGACGTGAGCAAATCTGGCGAAATGCGTAAACCTGCTTTTGAATTCTCTATACAAAACTTTTCAATGCAGAAACTCATTAAAAATTGCAACTTTTCTCTGAATTGGATTTTGCCATGAATCCAATTTTCTCGCTCGCTCTCACTTCTATCGTGAATCCGATTAAAATTTTAGCTCACTTGTATGACGGTTTTCTTAGAACCGATTGCAACTACAGTGTAGTTACTACACTATGTAGTGTGTACACTGTACACTGTACACTGTACAGCCATACTGCAGTGGCATACGATATCATGGCTACTAAAAGCCATTTGTTTCATACACGGAACGACATACGCAATTGCACCGAAGGTCAAAATCGGCTCCCCCTCCCCAGCCGGACAAATTTTTGTTTCGGGCGTCAAACTTTCAGGATATTTTGCCCTTAATTAGCCCTAATTTGCCCCACCAAAATTAGAATTTGCCCTCGAACGGTTTGCGAGACATGGCCATCGGCAATTTTGGGGATTTTCAGTAAAATCCACAAAAAGGCATATAACAAAAATTTTACACAAGTGCATAAAAATGAAAACTAGGGGAATGTAACCGGTTGTGGGACAGCTCCGGTTGTGGGACAGTCGATTATTTTGACACTTATGTTGTATTAACACCAAATGATGCATTGTAATGTTGTTTTATAGCCGTAATCAAACTTTTGGTACGACTCTGAGCTGAATATATGCATTCGTTATATTATTTCCAGACGATGTGTTGAAAAATGTAAAAAAAAGTTTCATAGAATTCTTTTGAGAAGTAATATTTTCTCAATTTTTGATGAAAAAATTATCAGTTAAATATTGATATACATTGTTTAAGGACTAAATTCCATCATGGGTAAGTTGTTTTTATCAATATATGAGCATTGAATTTTGTTTGCATCACAACCAACTGGTGTACGATTCCGGTTGTGGGACAGTCATGTACCCAAAAAAAATCAAAATCAAACTGCCAATGCCCATATCTTTTTCGTTTTTGGACCAATCGGGGCACTCGGCGTTGGAAAGGTGGCGAGGAGGAGCTTTTCTTGGACACCTCGAACTACCCCCTTCGTAAGATATGGGTATCGATTTGAAAATTTATCGAAATTTTCCAACCGCTATATTTTTGCCTAGACCACAATTTAGGCATGGGGGTGTTTCCGACTATTTGGGCCAAGAACTTTCCAACGGTACCTAACATGCCGGGGCCCAAATAGTGCCCTGAGAAAATAGCATACTTACTGTATATACTCGCGACGCAAAAACTGACATTTTTGATATTTGGCTTGAAATGCATAGTCTATGGAGCGTCACTTGTCGGACTACCGTCCTCCGTGATGAAGTGGGATTTTGCATGCAATTATCCCTTTACGTGCATCATACCTTTAGTGCAAAAGCATTTATTGCCCTCCCTAACGCGATCGTCCCATCTATTCGGTGCGAATATGAAAACAAGCAAAGTGACTCCACCTGCCAACCGATATATGAATCGGTGGGAATAAAGGCAGTGTATAAAAAATGTGCCGAACAAAACGAACTACAGCGTTTCCTCTACATAGAGATGTTATTGTGTTATAACTCTGTATGGATCAATTTGTTTGTTTTCATGTTAAAACCGAATAGATGGTGCTCGCTTAAGGTAGGGCAATAAATGCTTTTGCACTAAATGACGTGCATAAATCTTCAGTAGATTATAATCAAGAAAAAGAGTTCTTTCTGCATTGACGTCTGACTCCGTATCAAGAAAAATTGAACCCATCCGCGTAGACTCTATACTCTAGAGTGAACCAAATTCTTCTTTCACTCGAAAGTGAACAAGAGCAACCAACACTGTTCAAAACAGATTGAAATTTCAATTATTTTTTATCATCTATTCTGTATAATTTATTTTCATTCTTGCATTTCGCCTACGGCATTAGACTCATACAAATCGCGTTCAAATTTAGCACGGATGTACGTTAGGGTCACAAAAATGCAATGTAAGCAATTAAAAAGACAAATAACTTGAGCTGTTTTTTGACAGAGTAATAATCGATGGTCCAACAAAGCAACAATATTGGTTGGTATGGTCATAGATTGACAAAAACATATTTTGAAATTAATTCTAGACTACAATCGAAAAAGGGAATCGAAGAAAATCACCCGATCATTCAGCTAAATTGGTTCAGCTATTCGTCACCTGAAAAATACACATCGATCAAAAAGATCAAACCTGTGAAATTTGTGAAAAAAATGCAACATTACCATTGTCCAATTGAATCTGATCCAATTGCTCTGCAATATTAATTTTGTTTCCTTTACCGATAAAAAGTTTGACGACCTCATTGTGACCTAAAAATAATACAGATCAATGAAAAAGATCAAATCGATATCTTATTTAGTCAGCTTTACCATTGTTGATAGCTACTTGAAAAGGAGTCTGATTCGAATTATTTACAACAATAACATTTGCTCCTTTACGGATGAGAAGTTCAGCGACACTCCTATGACCTAAAAAGTAATTTAGATGGATGAAAAAGATCAAATCAATCTTCTTTTAGTCAAGATAAGTATTCAACTATTACCATGCTGAGCAGCTAAATGAAGAGGTGTGTCTTTCACATAATTTTCACTATCAACATTGGCTCCTTTACTGAGTAGAAGTTCAGCAACATTCTTATGACCTGAAAAATAATTTAGATGGATGAAAAAAAAATGAAACTGTGTTCCTATTCAGTGAGAACAAATAATCAACATTACCATTCAAAACAGCTAAATGAAGGGGTGTATAAAACAATTGATTTTTCATTTCATAATTAGCTCCTTTACTGAGTAGAAGTTCAGCGACATTCTTATAACCTGAAAAATAATTTTGACCGATGAATAAGATCAAATCAATCTTTTATTTAGTGAAACTCATTAAATCTCGTAGGAAGCATTTTTAAGGTAAAATTTGGATTCTCCATACCCAAATTATTGGAAATATGTATTTTCTCAACGGCCCTCCGCACCCAGTCTTCCAGAAATTGAACTGGCAGAAATCGCCCCACATCTGGGGTCAATTATTACAGAGTCAATTTTCTACCTCTTGGAGTGAAAATTTTGCATAAAAATGTATGACCAACTATAGCTAATTTTTTTAGGCTATCTATTTTACCCATGGGTCACCCCCTCCGAGCCCTTCTTTTGGGAGTCCCCATACAATAATTTTGAAAAAAACTAATTTTTTCTGTATATCGGGTCAAAAAAACCCTTCACCCCCGAACAAATTACATTTTTGGATTCCTCGTGAAAAATTACTTTTGGATTTAGAACATTTCCCATCAAAAAAATCATCCATTATGCTCCAACCAAGGCCGGAATACATTAGAAGGTTTGGGGTGCGATTTGTTTAACATTCCGGCCTTAAATTAGGACATAAGGGATGCTTTTTTTGATGGGGAATGTTCTGAACCTAGGGGTAATTTTTCACGAGGAATACAAAAATATAATTTGTTCGGAGGGTTAAGGGGGGTTTGACCCTATTTTGGGGATGCATTGGTCATTTTTCGCTATTTTTCACTTTTTGACCCTCCATTTCATTTCAGGGGTGGAGGGCAACTCCACCCAAAGTGTCATTTGATTCTCCGGAGTATCTTGAACATTTCATATCGACATATTTTTGTCCTCAAACGATTTCTAGTATGGGAAAATTGCATTTTTATGTAAAAACCATCAGACGAAGCATTGTAAAGAAGGGGCCATATCCCCACTATACCCCAAAAGGGGCCGCTGCCCTTTTGTCAATATTACTTTTTTTCACATCCTATCGATCTGTATACTCAAATTTAAAATCGACGTGGGACACTTGGGGACCTTTACTTGTAAGTACTGAATGTATGTGTGAGTACAGCCAGCACTCACACGATATGGTGTGATTCAATTGCACATCGGTTTTTTTCGGCCTACCATAAATCATGTACACATAGCTTACACATTACACGATAACTGTGCCCGGGAATGGTGTCACGAGATTTTATGAGGAATATTCAAAATTACCATTGAGAGCAGCTGAATGAAGAGGTGTCGAAAGGCGATAATTTTTACTATCAACAATGGCTCCTTTACGGATGAGAAGTTCAGCAACATTCTTGCGACCTGAGAAATAACACAGATCGATGGAAAAACAGATCAAATCAATCTTTTATTCAATGAAAATCAATATTCAACATTACCATTGGAAGCGGCATAATGAAGAGGTGTCGCATGGTGATCATCCTCACTATCAACAATGGCTCCTTTACGGATGAGAAGTTTAGCAACATCCTGGTAACCTGAGAAATAACACAGATAGATGGAAAAAGAGGTCAAATCAATCTTTTATTCAATGAAAATCAATATTCAACATTACCATTGGAAGCGGCATAATGAAGAGGTGTCAACTTCAAATCACTTTCAATATTAACTTCGGCTCCTTGATCGATGAGTTTTTGAGCTTCCTGCACATTACCTGAAAAATAATGCAGACCAATGAAGTAGATTGAACAAAGCATTTTTTAAAAACACAAATACTCGAAATTACCAGTCTGAGCAGCTCTATGCAGAGCTGCCTTCCCATATATGTCCTTTCCGTTTACTAAAAGTTGAAAAAATAGAAGATCAGTGAAGTGTATCGGAAGAAAATGTTGCGTACAGTGACGCAGTGTACTGTGTGAGGGAAACTTGATAAAGAAATGGAGCTTCAATCTTACCGTTTCCACTCACATCCACGATCAGGAACTGTGGAAATGAAACAAAGTGGTTAAATTGTAATGGTTTTCAACTGTTTTTCATTTGAGTAAAAGATTCTGATTGACATTACTTTTGTGGTGGAAGATTTTTTTCAATTGAAAAACTTTAAAATGGACATTTTTTCATTAATGAAATGAGTTTCGAAAAAATTATCACAAATTGTCCACAAAAAGAATCAAATGTAAAAGATTCGATCCAAAAATTCCAAGCAACATTAAAATTTCAAAAAATTGAGTAAAATTGTCGACTCACCTGGGATACCACCAAGCCAATGAGCAGCAGTGTGATGGATCTTCGACTCAGCATTTTTCCAGCTTCGAACTATAAAAAGTCTACTGTAAACGTATCAACTGATAAGAATTGACGAACTGTTTGATGGACATACGAATCGAACGCATCTTCTTATATACTTTTCGAGTGTGGTCACGTCAGCACTCAGCAAGCAACACATTAACGGTATTATTTAATCCACGTGCAATGACGATTCTAATTAAAATTCACCGAGTGTTATCGCATGCATTTTTTTCAAAATAACAATGTCAAAACAATTGATGGAATTACAATTCCACCTGTGCACGTGTGTTTAATTTGGCGTTCCACATCAAATGGATCGCATTGAAAATATCAGATGTTTACATTTATTCTTTCATCACCTTCATTATGAAAACAACGCAATTGAATTGAAATTTAAGCAAATATTTTTCACTCTTGAAATGATCAGTGGTGTTTTTTTGACGAGGCTATTTGAATATGAAAATGTTTACATCTTCTCGGTATGTACAAAACACACACCGTTCCAAAGTCGTTTCAAATTTAAAAAATAACCACAGATGGATTGTCGTTTACATGCCGTTACAAAATAAATGTTTGAACGCACCACAACAAATAAGGTGAATACTGAATACGTTGAAAAAAGACATAAGCGAATCTCATACGAAACCAGAGCCGTACTTAGTAACACTTTCCATATACGGTGCCGATCAAAAGTTTGGGTACGATTGAAAAAATGGCATTTTTCGACAAAAAATGGGATTATTTTGATAAAAACTGAATATATTTCGGTTTCAATTCGTAAGTCTTACGGGAATAAATCATTTTAGACCTAAAATGTAGGATGTTAATGTATTGGTTTGGGAAATTTGATCAAAAAATAGTAAAAATTGAGTTCATTACTTTGAATGAAAATCATCTGACTTGCTACCGATCTCCGACCATATTATCAACTACTGTGCATTCAATTGTTTGGAAATTACTCAAAATGGTTTGTACACAATCCAAAATATCTGCCACAAGTGGATTTTTGCAAATTACGTGAGATTTCTTTTTGCTGTGCGAGCAGAAATATTTTTTTCTCAGAAATGGTGAAACTCCATGTAAATATTGACCAAAATAGAAAAACTTTCATTTTTCATCCAAAGCAATGAGAAATCTTATATAATTAACCATGGCCATGTCTCGCAAACCGTTCGAGGGCAAATTCTAATTTTGGTGGGGCAAATTAGGGCTAATTAAGTGCTAAATATCCTGTAAGTTTGACGCTCGAAACAAAAATTTGTCCGGCTGGGGAGGGGGAGCCGTCAAAATCCGTTTAGACAACTTTTCAATGGATTTAATTTGGAATTAGTAGGAGCCGAACACAAAAAGCTCCAACTGTGTATTTGACACACCGACACATGGCAGTGTACTTATTTGTTGATATTTATAAAGTGCAAATTCATTTCAATCGTGCCAATGGTTTGCAGAGGAGTTTTAATCACCAAAATCATTATAAAATATAATTAGAATGGTTGATGAATTGGTTTGGTTGGCATCAAATAAATGAAATATGGTTTTGTTTTCAATTTTTTGTGTGACCTTAATAGGAAAATGGGAAGCGGTCGAAGCGCTCGATTACCGCCAACACCAACACATGCGTCCACCATTCATCGGATAATCGAGGCGTCGACCGAATATTCGACCGATTCAACAACGGCTGATACAAAACACATCAATGGTTCGGATTTGTTGCAGCAGTCACAACAGGTTTTCGACCGTATCACTGACCATGAACGACAATACATTTTGACCGTTCTCGAACGGAATAATGATGTACAGCAACGGGATGCCGCACGTCTTATGTAAGTCCGATATTCATTCATGTTTTACGCCTTTTATTTTATGGTAAAATCATATTTCGCCACTTTTGTCTTGTATTCGTTGGAATCTTTGCTTAGTTCATTTTTTATTGGAACAGAGTAAAACTTCCCCATCCCCGCATTCTTTATGTTCTCTAGTAATTTTGTCATCGTTCAAGAGCCACCGTCAGTGTATTGAATGATCATTAAATATATATATATACGTATATTTTTGTTCTTTTTTTTGGTATTTGTTAGAATGTTGCATTTGAAAAATTGGATTCCATGAAATCAAAGCCGAGAGTAAATCCGAGCTTAAGTAATTCATTGTTATGAGACGCGTTTTTTTCGCTTGCTCGCTTATTTTGTGTTTGTGTACATTGTGTGCCATAAAAATGAATTTAGTGGGGTGAGTGTATAGGACCGTTTGGGACAAACACTAAATAGAGTCCATTGTCATGTGTATTGTGCCTGTTTGTACAATAGAAATTTTGTCATTTTTCGTTTAAAAAAAAGCCATTGTGTCCAATAATTATTGGATTCTTTCAACGGTCGGCAAAATGAAAATTGTCAGTTGGTATCCAACAGTGTGGAC